AGGTCGTTACAGTATATTACACTAAAAAAGTGATATAATACGAGGTTCTTACGTCTGAAAGCCATTCAAACCATTCTTCTACGAGAAAATAAAATTCATTTGCAGCTTTTAAGCTGGCCCGGAAGCCTTTTACCCGTAAAAGTCGTAAAACGTACTCTAAAATGCGAGCTCCTGTCCTTGACTTATGAATCACCCAATAGCAATTTTTCCAAATTCTTTCGCTCGGATTTCGAGGGCTTTAAGGTGCCGTTACGCGGGTAAAGTAGTCGAGAATCCGCTCCGGATTTTAGTCCGAAAAAGTGGGATCGGGATTCGGGAAGTAGGGGGCGTTAATGGTATTTTATGGAGCCGCTGTACTTGTTGTAAGCAGCCTTTCGCCCTGAGTGAATAACTAAAAGAAGGTGCATCTTGATGGCAATGCTATCCGTCGTAATTTCCCCGAGCTGAGAAGGGAATCGGATCTGTAAATGGACTTCCGAGTAAAAAGTTCCGATGTAACTTTAAATAACGCCGCGAAAATGGGATCCTAAACGGACCCGCGTAATGTACATGTCCGACAGCCGACAGCACAACCTCTTTAACTCTACAGGTTGCAAAATTCAGGGCTTAAGCCGGGTTATACACTGAAAAATGCTTAGAATGTTTTATTTAATAAAAACAAATTAGAAGATTAAAATACATATTATTACGCAATGAATTCTTCAATAGAATTTGCTTTAATCTAAATAAAGTTTAAAAAAAAATGTTTTCTAGGTACTTGAAAAATCTTTCATCAAATTGAATACAATTTTTCTGTCAAAATTAAAACATAGATTTTTAACCTCTTTTTTTAGTGCATGGAGCGCACATTTTTTGGATTCATCCTCCTACGTCGTTTTTTTTTTTTTTTTTTTTTTTTTGGGGGGGGGGAGAGGGTTTCTTTTCGCAGTTTCTCTCACGAAAAAAACGATTTAGCGATATGCTTAGATTTGTAGGTCATTTGGCATCTCCTCAGGGGTGAGGCGTGAATGATCAATTGTCCATATTTCCTCATTTAAAGCTGTGGTAAAGAATCTATTATCAACGTGTTCTTTGCATACACCTTGTTTATCGATCCTTTTCCATAGGTTTAAAGGGAAGATCAATCGATAAATCGCAAATCACGCCACGCCACTGCATCTCCTATATTTTGGATAGCAGTTATCAGCCGTGTAACGTGAAGATATCCATGTGCAGGTACGTTAATCAAGTTCCAAGTTCATTGCACGTTTCACGAGATTCAATTTTTTCCTTATTTCAAATGAAATAATAGAATTAAAAAGAATATCAAACTATAAAAATAGATTTTATGAGTAAGCACGATTTTTCCTTCAATCAAAATGATATCAAATAATGGGAGGTAAGACGATGACAGACGTATGGGCTGAGGCGGACCAGAGTGAACTGATATTTTCCATGAATTTTAGGACCAGATATGAGATGACGGTAATAAAGGTGTCATAGACATGCTGAGCTCCCTCATAAATCAAAAAAGTGTTGGCCCAATGACGTATCTGAGATTGGGCTGGAAGTTCAAGAGGTGTCAGAAATGTCTAGGTAAAAGCCGCGTGGCCGTGTAGCATGTGCCGAGTTGGAGGTGTGGAAACGCTGTTGCCATTTTGACTTTCTTCCCAGTCAGCACCGCAATATTTTTAAAACATTTTTAAAACATTTTTGACATTATTTTGTAATTATTTTTAAAACATTGTCAAAATATTTTCAAAATTGCTACATGTTAACTCCATGTACATATTTTAAAAATATTTTCAAGGAAAATTTTAAAAATATTTTCAAGGAAAATTTTAAAAATATTTTCAAGGAAAATTTTAAAAATATTTTCAAAATATTTTATCGAAAATATTTTACCGGAATGTTTACCTATTTGTATACCATGCGCGCTCTATCAATGGTTATTGACACTATTCCCTTCTGTATACTCAGCGCGCTCTGTCAAGTAGATGTGGATGTACAGGCAAATTTCGTCATTTTCATAGTACTGCAATTTTATTACATTTGAAACATGAAATACACAAGTACTGAACATTTTAAACCACTTACCTGAATTCCTGCGACGTTTAGGAGCGTAAAATACCCGGACGCCCTCGTGCGGACTGGAACCTGGGCCGCGGGTTTGGTAGCCGAGCACTCTAGCCACTGAGCCACAGAGATCTCATGGTGGTTCGGGTTAAAATCACGCCTGTTATAGCATGCGTTGCGTCAGTGCGCGGCTCGTTCCTGTTATTTGTTTTTTTCGATCTCACGCAATAGGTACTTACATTAAATTTACACTAATGTAAATAACACCTCATAATAACTGAAAATAAGGACTTGAAAATATTTTTTAAAAATTTTTTTAAAATAATTCAAAAATATTGTTTGTAAATATTTTTTAAAAAATACTTTAAAAATAGTTTCAAAACTTTTTTATTAATATTTTAAAAATGTTTACAGACAATATTTTTGAATTATTTTTAAAATATTTCGAAAAAATATTTTCAAAATATTACTTTAAAAAGTTTTGAAATATTTTTGAAAATAGTTGGAAAATATTTTTTAAAAATTATTTACGTGACAATATTATAAAAATATTTTTATGCTTTCATTTTATGAATAATTACATTAAATATTTTTACAATATTGCTATGTAAATTATTTTTTAAAAGTATTTTCCAATTATTTTCAAAATTTTTTAGCAATGTTATTTAAAACTTTTTCAAAAATATTTTTTAAAACTATTTTAAAAAAGTTGTATCAATATTTTTCAGAGGATATTTTAATAGCAATAATGAAAATATTTTTAAAATGTTTTTAAAATATTGCGGACTGACTGGGTTGTAACTTCCAAAAGCATACCGAGAATCTATTTTGTTTTAAGAATATTTTACGTTAATCTTTGAGTAAAGTAAATTTCTGGGGGATACTTAAAAATGCTTATGAGCAGTTTTAGAAAACTGCGCATGAAACTGCAAAGGATTGCGTTTTTTCATTAGTTCTGAAAAACTTCCATTAGATGTTAAAATAGTGTTTTTTAACTCTTAATTTTCAAGATCCCAAAAGAAAGACATTTAAAATTCTTGTGTAAAACCCCATTTTCAAAAAAAAAATTTAAAACATGAAAAATTATTTAATAATCTTTTCATAAATTATACACTCTATTGGCGAGATTTTTTTTGTCCCGTCCGTGGATAAGTCACCACCGTTGCCCAGTCCACAAAATGGTCGATGTTATTGCTAATTCCGTAACCTAGGCAGCCAGTCAGTGGACAGACCGATCAAAGGTCTGACGCGATTTTAAGAGCAATCCATACAGTAATCGACGAATGTACCCCACTGACCGACTCCTGCACGGCGAATTATTCCCGGCATTTTGAACGAAACATAAAAGTATCAAAACAATTTACAGGTTATGTAAACAATTTCGAAATTTTTTTCATCATTCTCAAAAGTTTATAATGCAAATTTACGAGTTTTATTTTTAAAAAATGTATTTTATTTTAACTATCTTGGATGTGCGAGTTGCATATTCAAAATCGGAGGCGTTTCCGCTTCACAAAGACTAGACTGAATTGACAGTAGCGCCTTGATACAACTATTCGTGTTCCACGCATGTGCGTGTTGCATATTCTAACATTGAAGGCACTTTTGCTTCTCTCGCTTCTTCCAAGATGCATTGTGCCCGTCACTTGTAGGACCCGAATAACAGGAGTATTACCAACTACGGTGACACGAGGATAGAGTATCTAAGGCCAATAATTGAATCGGTCATTCTCAAAGACTTAAATCAGCAGAAAAGGAAACACAAGAAAAACGCAGAAACTGTGATAATCGACCCGTTGTAAATCGTAGATTATAAAATAATGTGATTAAATAATTCATCGCTTTGATATTTCAGAGTTCTGAAACTTAGAACTTGTCGAGCAAAAAGTTTTTACTGTTTTTCTCATATTATAATTCCTGCATGACGCTTAAGTCTTCTTTAGAATGACCGATTAATAAATCGGTGATTCCATCGACCTACGAATACTCCACTCACTGTGAGTTGGTTGTGGCGCCTTGATGCAATTATTGGCATTCCACGGGTATGCGTGTTGCATGTCCAAAATGATAACTCGAATTAATTTTCGGAGAGGTGGCACGCGGCTCGACTCTTGCCGGTGGATCAAGGGGGGCGCACCTGAGGTCCCAAGTCGAAACATGTTTTGGACTCGTTAAATATTTTGACGACGCGGCTAAGTATCTAAATGGTAAAAGTGTACCACACCCACCGCACAGCGTAGCGTGGAGTGTATGCAGAGACGGTTCGTGTATACTCTGGCCATGCTGTGTAAAAACGCCCTATGAATCAGTGGCGAGGCCTGAATGATCGATTATCGATATTTCCCCACTTGAAGCTATGGTAAAGAGTCGATTATTTAGGTGTTCGTTACGAACATCCTGTTAATCGATCCTTTCCCATAGGTTTAAACGGCAGATCGATCTATATATCGCAAAGTACGCTCGCCACTCCTATGAACATTCGAAAGTTGACAAATTTCTTATAATAGAATAAGAATTAATTTAGAAAACCTTAGAATTGGTATGCTCGTACAATTTTTTAGAGAAATTTATTCGTAGCTGAATCTGGAGTTTCTGAAAAATTTCCATTAATTTCCTGAAAATTAAACATTTTACCTGGATTGATTTGGTAGCATTCGATTGATGTTATGTGGTTTTTCCATACGGTTCGTGTACTCCGGCGATGTTGTGAAATAACGCTCTAGGAACATTCGAAAGTTGAAAAATTTCTAATAATAGAATAAGAATCACTTTAAAAACCTGAGCATAGGTACTTCTCACAAGTTTTCAGAGAAATTCATTCGTAGTTGAATCAGGAGTATCTGAAAAATTCCAAGAAAAATATCCCTACAGTTTTTGAGAAAAAAGTATTTTACCTGGAAAAATTTGGTAACAATTGAATGATATTACGTCGTTTTTCCTTTTAGGATGGCAGCACTTATCTTGCCGGGCGACCGTCCGTGATCGAGATCGACCAGTATCGATGCCGAAGCCCCGACTGCACCACCCACCCACACCCCTTGTGAGCCGAGGCAGACTGCATTAGCACGTTTCTCCACTATTTACGAGGTGCCTCAGGCCTGAGGCTCTAGCCCAGCCAGACCTGATCCTCATCCTGGATCCTAGGATCCTCGCTCTTCTTCAACTTGCTCTCGCAGCACGCTGTCATCTCGTCCACCTACAGCCTGCTCTGGAAATGTTTCAACATCCCACTTTCAGTTCTTAATAAGTGTTTTCCTAAAAACTTCTTAAAGTTCTTGAAAAACTTTTCGAAAATTTCATATTATGTAAATGGAATATTAATTTAAGCACTATTTTAGTCAGTTTTAGGGTATTTTCGAAGGAAATATACACTATTGCGTTCTCCCTCACGGTGGGACCTAGACTTTTTAATGATCAGTCAACTTGACAAGTTTTTTCTCTTTCATCATTTAGACGTATCAAAGATTATAAGAAGCTTCTGCTGCTGATTTTCTTTGCCTAGCCATTACTTAAGTTTACACCAATAAATACAACAACACTCTAATACTTAGGGACTCCATAAAATGGACGATTATTGTTTTTCATTTTCCTCTGCCTGGAGTCTATGAAGCGGAATTAGGAAGGCTCTAAGACTGTGAATTTTCGATGCCATGGAAACCTTATATTTCAGGATTTCGGGCCCGTAATGACTAGCGCCCTGGACCCCTGAGCGCTAATCCGGCCCTGTAAGTGTATACGCATCATATGGTTTGATATTTTCAAAATAGTCTGGACATGGGGGAAAATTGCCGGCGTTTTCAAAAGAAATGATATTGGATATCTTTAAATTTGAAAAATAAACGTATTAGAGGTAGTCTGCCATGCTAAGCAAGAACTCCGTTTAAGCCATCAGGCGTTGCCAAATTTCTTTCCACAGGTCACGTATTTTCAAGAAAATTTGTGAACATATCTTCTTTGATTTTTCAGAAGGTTTTGTTCGCAATTTGATCTAGCAAGTTTGGAAATTTCAATCAAAAATATTCTAAATTTTTGTCAAAATTCAATATTTACTCAGAGAAGATTGGGCAACTCTCAAATGCTCATACGGCGCTCTTACTTGGCACGGCAGTAATGTGCAACGTTGCAGATAAAAATGCAGGTGAGAATCACCACCCATCTTCTGCGCAGTATGTCTGATGTGTAGGGACGAGCTAATGATGGAGTGTGTAAGGACTTGCGGGGCATAAAGACTTGCGACTGGCTCGGGACCTTAGCGGGGCATCCTCGATTCCCCGAGCGCGGTGCCTCTAAAAACAAGACCCAATCGTGATCGTATAGCATCCAATACGCCCGTATCAACCATCACCCGCATCGGCTATGCACTGTGCAGCGTGCCTATCCTCCCTCTTCCCCCGCGACGGGCGGCGCACCAGGCACCAGGCTTGGTTACCTCCTCCGCGCAGACGATGGAGTAACCTCCAACGCGTCAATCGAACCGCGTCTGGCTATTAACATCATTGACATTCTATCTCCACTCACTGCGATACACTGTAACAGACCCTACGTCACGGGCAGATGTCCATTATTTGATAATTATCGATTTATTCCCGTTGGTGGCATTGAACAAGGTTATGTTATTGTTTGGAGCCAATGCGATGTGAGGGTCTGACTGTGAATTTACGTCAGACACCCCTCCTTTGACGTAAGGGCGCATCTCGATTTCCGCATGAGCTCCAGAGAGCATGGATATATAAGTAAAACAAGGCTCACGTGGAAATTGAGGTGCGCCCGAGACTGAGGAGAGTTTGGAGGGGCTTGGCAGGTGAGTGACAAAGTTATAGGAGGGTGGGTCAAGCGTAACCTAACGAAAGGAGAAAACGCCTTCAGTTAAAACATCTCAGAAGTAATGTAAAAGAGCATTGTAAAAGTACATTTTTCCCGGTTTTTTTCCTCTTCTCCCCAAAAAATGTTAAGAGAAAAGTACATGTTTCCAGTTTGTTCTTCTTTCTCCCCGATATATCAAAGGGTACTTTCAGCCTGAAGTTTTTAGGGGGTTAAAAGGCGCCTGCTAGATGTCGGAAAAGGTAAGTGGAAGCAGGGGGTCAAAAATTGGAAAAAGTGCCAGATGCATGCTCGACATCCTCCAATAATTCCAAATTGCGTCCAATTAGTCAGAATTTGAAAATTTTTACAAAACGTGCTACTTTTTTTTTTTTTTTTTTTTTTTATCAATTTTGCCAGAAAATATGACATTTGTTCCATTTCAATTTCAAAAGATTTAATTCACAACGTGTTCCTTATTTTATCCCCAAAAGTTACCAAAAGTTTATTTTTTTACTTACATTTATTAGGAGACTTGAAATCAGCTAAGTTTTGATTCATTTCAATCATTTCACGTTCATTAATTCTACCATAAGACTTGGATTTATGCATAAGAAATAATTCTCCATAGATGCCTGCCTTTTTTTAAATGCACTTTGGTTCATTAACTATTTCTTCCAAGTTAAATTTCTATAAAAAACTTTAAAAAAAAAAAAAAAAAAAAAAAGAGTAATTGTTCCATAATGAATCCCTAAATGAAACCCACTTTGTCTTGAGGATGTAAAAGTGAATTACTTTTAAAACTAACTTAAAACATCCGCCACAGGCACAGATATATCTTCACATACTCAGCGGATAAACGCTGAGACTAGTCTGATATGAACGCCGAATGGTCAAACCTCGTGGATGTAGGAAGCATGTCAAATTGCATAGCCCCCTCATTGAAGGCGTTTGTTCTTCGATAATAAAAAAGGAACGAAACGAGGAATTGTCGATAGGTCTTAGCGTGCACTAATCTTCATCAATTTTGGTTCTTTGATTTCTTCTTCACTTTCCAATTTTCGTCCTCTCCCCCGTTTTCAACATGCTTAAAAGTGAGGAGATGTTAAATGCAAAGGTAAAGTTTTTCTAAAAAAAGGAAAAGAAAAAGAAAATTAAGTGATGTTGTAAACTTTGGATTGAACATTGAAACTGTTTCTCAGCATGTTTTTTCACGAGAATAAAAAAGGGAGGGGAATTGTTGGTGAAAATCGTACCAGAGCTAGTAATTACCATAATTCTGTCAATTTTAGAGCATGGTATCTCTATGAAAGGTATCGGAAATGGAAGACTTCACTTTCACTCACTGAATATTTCCCCTCATGATGTGGTGGGTGGAATTGTAAACATTTTCTTTGGACGAAATACTTTTAAGGAATGAACAATGTGTATGCACAATAATCTTAGGCTTAAATCATAGGTTAAAGAGAGGAACCGTCATTTCTGCCGTGTTACGAAAAGGAGGACAAAAGTGAAGTTTTGAGAAAATTAATAAAGTATTGCAAACCTTTGTTGAGTCTTCTGACATAATTTTTTCAACAATCACCCAGAACTCTTTTAGATCGCTCAGATGGCTGAGAATCTGAAAATTTTACTTACCTCAGACTTTAAGAAAGGGACTTATTCATTTGATGTTAGGCAAGTTAGGCGGATACGCAATCTCGTTTAGTTATGCTAGCTTGAGTACGTTTTCAACAAATGAGAGCCAAATTTGAAATGTTATACCTCGATAGAAAAAGATAATGTTTCGCCCAAGATATACAGATATACGGCATACAGTCTCTTTTTCTCAGATCCCGGCCACTACCATGTAGGACTCAGGTTTTTATCGTTTTTTTTTTTTAAATTTTTATTGTATTTCCGACCGAAAATGACTCGGTTTTGAGTCGAAACGTCTCGGTCCATATTAATTGTGTATTTTAGCCTTGTTTCCCGTTCCCCCCTTATTTTTCCACTGTTATACAGTATTGTGCATTTCCTTCGCGAGATAATGTGGACTCACTTCCGTTTTGCAAAACGGCTTCTTTTTTTGTGCTATTTATGCACTCTCACAACCCTCGTAATTTACAGTCAGAGCAAATTTTTCTGCAATAATGGAATCATCCATTTAATTTAAATTCGATCGGTGAAATTTTGAAAAAAAGGAAAAAAAATTGAAAAGTTGGTTGTTAGCGCTCTCTTTGGTAACACGGCAGAGATCGGAGCCCACGGCAGGTGAGAGAGGATGCCGCCACGGGCCACGAGGGACTAGGGGCTAGGAAACCGACCGCGTGGAGAGTATTAGCTGAAAAGTGTGATGAATCAAGAGAAATCGGTAATGCCGTTGGTAGCAGCGAGGGGATTGCTCTTCACAGTCCGAGCGCAGGATTTAGCGCTGATACAGCATTTAATTACATTAATTAATGTATAATTTGCTTTTAGCTCGCGGGCTTGACTTGATCATGAGTGCATACTGCAAGGAGTTTTCGTGAGCGACCAGGCCATAATTTTTCTGGTCTTTGTGGCGAGAGCTTTGTAACAACCAATTTACCAGTCAGATTAAAGCAGATGCATATGGGATGCAATGCGCCGTGCCGTGGCGTGAGGAGGTAAGTGAAGCCACGCTTCCACGGGAAGCGCGCGCAAAGCTGGCAGAGCTGCGCGGTCGGATGCGATAATTTTAAACCTAACAGTACCTTTATGGATGAGAATATGACCACTGGAAAATCCTCTCCAATTGGATTAGCCAGTGGAGCTCTCGGGGATCAAAAAAGTATGAGAGACATTGCGTACAGATTTTTCAAAATGACAGAGAATGAGGCTTTATTGACTTGTGAGACCATTACCCTTATTCGAATTGCATAGTTACTGCAGTGCATACTCAATTTTGGAACCAGTTTCGTGCATTACCTTCGAAAATTATTTCCATTCTAGACTTCTGCTGTGACAAAGTTGGCAAAAATTGCAGCAGGTGATTGCCGTAAATGATTGGCATACAATAACACCCTCAGTCGCTGTTATTTTTCTGGTTCCTACTGATCTCCATGAAGCGCAGTGTCCATGCATTCTGTATATATAAGGTACTGTAAACCGCGATCCCGGGTATAATAATATTAAAACCTATCTTCATATTAATGAGCAACAGGCGGTAAAATTCGTAATGTAAGTAAATCATCGTGCTGAACAAGAACCGTGGTTCTAAATTGCAGATTTTTCGAGTTTAACATATTACTGAAAAAAAAGACAACTTTCCCACATACATAATTTTTGGCGCGTATACGTAGTATACCGCCTTTGCGATCGTTTCGACCCCCCCCCCTCGATACAATAACCGAGTCCCCTAGTTCCTTACCGAAAAGTGACTACCGCGAACTTCTGAGATTTTCCAAAGCGTGTAAAAAG